ACTAACAATTATTAAATCAAATTTATTTTTCCATTCTCTAAAATTAGAATTTAATATAATAGATTTAAATGTCATCGTGTATTTACTCATGAAATTTTTGAACAAAATCTCGCCGCAAAATCCTCCACTAGCGGCAAAAAAAATTCGTCCCCTACACTGAAGAATTTGAGTCTAAATTCGCCCTTAGACTCAAATTCTCGAAATTCAAAGATATTCAAAAAAGTAAGTTTAATATTAGTGGAGTCTTATCATTTCGATGGGGTTACTACTAGTAGTAATGGTAATAAAACAATACACACCTAAAATTGTCATGTCTAACTCGATATAGGTGTTAGAGAGAGACGGGTGCATATTTGTCATTTGCTGATGCAGGGCAATGCATAGAGTAATAAATAGCCCCAAATAAACAATAATTAAGAGGCTTAAACAAACTCAACGCTCCTCCGTCTTTTCTTTTCAAGGTAAGTGATGTAATCAAATAAAAAAAGCAACCACAAAAATATTCTTTTTTTCCTTGCAAAAATCCCAAGTGGGATAACTTGATCTTTTCCTCACAAACCCTAAATACTGTGCCTATCAATTATTTGGATGGAGGGTCTAATTTAGTAATTTCCCACATGTGCATAAAGATTGTGTCTTTATGCATCAAACCCATCATTAGTACTCCCCAAATTGCATGGAAGGGGTTTAAAGCTTAAACCAAATCTTAATAACACCCATCTCCATCAATGTACTATTCATGATATCTTCCTTCTAATTGTCTCATTATCACATAATAGATCATGCTCCTATTAATAATATTCCCTACTTCTGATAAGACATAATTTAACTTTTGCACTAAGAGGACCATTTAATTTAGGGAAAAAATTAAGAAAAAACAATTAGAGTTTAAGAAGAACAAACTAGGGAAGCAATTGAACAAGGATCATATTGATAAGAAGAACATATAGGCAGGCTATTCTCTACTATCCTCCTGATTAAATTCCGGGGAAGTTTTTTTTAATCAGCAGGTTTAGCACCACTAATTGTTTTTAAGGAAGACGGTGTTAATTAATTTAGGATATGGAAATGCGGCGGCGTAACGAGAACGAGCTAATCAAGAAGAATAATACGACCCATTAACGGCGGCGGCGGCGGCGAGAGGGGCGGTGACGCCGTTATTGTTTTCATTCTTCATGTCGAATTGGCAGGCGGTGGCTGTTCCGGCGGCGGTCGAGTCAAGATTTTGACTTTTTGCATTAAGTAAATTAAAATTCATACCATGAACATTGTCATTGTAGTTGAGGCCGCCGCCGGAGGCGGCGGCGATCCCATGATCCCTCTTGCCGGAAATGTTCTTGTTGTTGTGCATCCATACCTTAAAAACAACCCTCTCCACTCCGATGTCGCTGCAGAAGTTGTTGATCAGATCTTCGTCTCTCTTCTGAATCTTCCACCCAACCCTCTCGGCGAATTCGAACATTTTCTCCTTCTGATCTGCGGTGAATTTTGTCCGTATACGCTTTCTCCCGTTCAGATTTGACCCAGGCCCGCCGGAAATGTGGTCGGCGGAGGTAGGGGTGGTGGTGTTGGTGTCAGTCTGGTGGGGGCCCACCATTCCGGTACTGAGAGCTAGCAGGACGTGCGGCGCCGACGGGTAATACGACGAGGAGATCGGCGGCGGGGAAGGAGAACTCGGCGGGCTGCTGTGGGAGCCCTGCGGCGGCGGAGGGTGGTGGCGGTGGTACGGCTGGTACTCGATAGCCGGTACCACATCGGTACGGGAAAGAACCTCATCCGGATGTTCCCGGCGGTGGAAATTGCGGTGGCACCCACAAGCGGCGCATTTCAGGGAAGTCGGGTCGGACGGGTTGGCGGCGGGCGAGGGCATGAACTCGCCGCATCCGTCGACGGCGTGCCCGCCGAGCGGGGCGGCGTGGTTCTTGAGACACTCCCTGTAGTTGACCACCACCGCGTGGTGGGTTTCGGCGGCGTGACGGCGGCCGTCGTGGAGGGGGTTGTTGAGGCGCTTGAGCACGCCGTTGCTGCTGTAAGAGAGGGGCTTTGCGGGGTAGATCCGGGTGGGAGGGGTCTCAGTCTCAGCTTCAGGGGTTTTGACAGTGGCGGCGGCGGCGGCGGCGGTGCAGCTGCTACTTATGTCCATGGCTGAGAAAACAGCCAAGAGTGGGGCTGCAAAATTGTTGTGGATGAATCTGGAGACAAGGGAAATATAGGGCCAAGGTTTCTTCAGAGGAGGAAGAGAGGCATCTTATCCATGGCCATGGGGGCAGAATGGGAGACAGAGGATTTGAAGAAAGATGGAATGGGGTTTGTTTTGGAATTACGCCCTTTTTCTATTATTTATTCATCACCCAGAATTAAAGACGATGAAGATGACAAACTGGGGTGGTTAGATTAATGCGAATCGTTCATTTTTTGAGATTTTTTTAATTTTATTTTATCAGTTCTTGTATTCAATTTTTTATAAGTTCTTGTTAAAGGGTATTATTTTATACTATTATTATGAATTAATTAAAACTATGCATACGAAAGTGTAATAAATGCATATTTCCGTCTCTGGGTAAACTTGTGCCTGCAGCAGGCGGCAGATGGGAGCGGCCCCCACCTCACTTGTGGTGTCTTCTGTCATGGGCGTCATAATTACATAATTTACTCAACTTAGGGGTTGCTTATTTTCTAAAATATTAAGCGCTCTTCCTATTTTCAAAATATAGATGTCTACTATTATGATGGGTAAATAAGTCATTTTTGGGACATGAATTTGTAGGGGCGGGCCGATATGGTACCAGACCGAATAACAGGATTCAAAACGGTTCTCAAAATATTTGTCCTGAACCGGACCGTACCGGTCCCAAACCATGCCATGACCGGTTCTCATAAAATGAGAACCGATACCGGACCGAACCGGACCGAATTATGATTTATATAATTAATAATTTATAATTACTGTACATGTATACCATTTGATACTCCTTCTGGTTTGCACTTTGCCACTTTGTGTACATTTATAAATTATAATAATTGCTAATTCGTTGTATGCTACCTGCAGGAGAAGCATATAGTGAAGCCAAGCCCAATTTGTCTTACTTTTTACTCCGTATTTATTATAGGTACAGATTTAACATGTTTAGCCCATCTAAACATATACTATCCTCCATTCCATAATTCTTGCAACAGTTTGACTTTCACGTTTGTCAATGCACAACTTTCACGTTTGCCAATGCACAACATTGATAAGAGTTCAATAACATTTTATACGTAATAATTTGATTATGTATATTAGTAGAAAATCATGGTCAAAGTAAGATTTGTGAATAGTGTAAAAATGACAATGTTGCAAGAATTATGGAACGAAGGAAGTATTGAAGATCATTTGCCATACAGTAAGTATGAAGGCACTTTACTTTTTAAATAGTTAATTACCTTTAATTTATTTTATGTGTTCTTTTTTAAAACATTGTGGTGCATGTATTTCCAGGAGGCCTGATGTGTATGAGTGGAAAGTGAAGCTTTGGATATCATCAGTTGCAGTCTGGAGAAGCCAATGGTGCTTGAAGAGTTGTGGTCGTGAACGTTTTGTGATATATGTTTTGTCTTACTGTAGTTTATTTGAAATTTATTAATTACGTAATTTTAAAATTGATAAATTGTGTGGATTTTTGGATTATGACTAAACTTTGTTTTGTCGAAAAAAGTGGCATTGTTTGGTATTGGTATGTCATGGTACCGTACCGTTTGAAATTGCAACCGTACCGAACGGGTTTAGGTCTAAGACCGAACCGACCCGTTTAAATAGTAACGGTCCTGGCACGGGTTTGGTCAAATACCGGACCGGACCGGACCGCGCCCACCCCTATGAATTGGTTTAGTTCGTATTTCGAGAGCCACTTTACTAACATTATTCTTTTGGGGTATGAATTTGTTTAATTAGTTCGTATTTTGAGAGCTAGTTTACAAACATTTTTGGGGTATGATTTGGTTGAATATGTTAAAATTAATGAAGTTCTTCTCCAACGGCAAAATTTTGTGAATCCGTTCAATTATGAAAAAGTTATATTTAAAATATTACGTGTTTTTATTATGAAAATAAAAGGATAAAAATTATTATATGAAAATAGTTAAAATATTAAAAAGGTCTTTATAGTAACTACAACAAATTAAGAAAGTAACTACAATCTTCCTTATTTTGATTATCATACAATTCAAAGCGAATAATTAAGGGTTACATGTTTGGTGAAAAAAATTGATTAATCAAGCCGATAAGCTTAAAAATATGAAGACCAAACCGGCTCGTAGGATGTTTTTGCTTGTCCTGTTAACTGTCTGACCTCTTATTATTTTATAATTATAATTTTAGTCTGAAAACAATCCAAGTAAAAGCATTCGCAGTCTTTATCAATCATTTTTTGTGATACGCGTAGTATTAAACTGTTGATTAGTGGTGGGCAATTCAGTTTACCATTTGGTTTTTTCGGTTTGGTTGGTTTCGGTTTATTCGGTTTGGGAGAATTTGGGAGTGTTTGGCTAATGGCTGTTAAATGTTGGCTGTTGGCTGATTGTGTTGGCTGATTGATTACAACGGATTTTGTTAGCTGTTTTGATTAGCTGATAGTATTAGCAGTTTGTAAATTTGTGTTTGGTTAAATAGCGGTTTACAATCGGCAGATAACTTGTCAAATGACTTTTAAGGACGTCAATTAATTTTTTGTTAATGTTACGTAAAATTTGTCAAAAGCTGTGTAACAAAAATGAAAATTGTACGAAGTCTTTATGTAATCACAATCAAAATAATAATCATTAAAATTCCTGAATTGTCTATAAAATAAAATAAGAAGCTGATTATTACTAAAACGATCTCGTAGTTGGCTGCTTCTTCATTTGAGTGTTGTTTCTTCTTTCTGTCCGTCTTTGAGCGAGGTAATTTATTAAACATCAATTAAATTGGTATATATTTTGGCGTAGGTAATTTATTAAACATCAATGGAAAATAAGATGTTTGACTATTCAAAATAGAATTCATAATAAATCTGTTTTAAAATCGAAAGTAGTATTCTGCAAGACTAAAGAAACAAGGGTTACAAACTGTGTTCTAAAGTGCTAAACGTGTGATTATAGAAGGGAAAATAATCCGAACACATAAAAGAAAAAACCGATAAACAAACAAAGCATCAAAGTGAATTCTTTCAAGTTTAAGTTGGAAAGATTTCCCCTGTAACTTGTCCATCTAACAACCCCCTGTGAAGGCACATGGACAACCCCTTTCCTTCCCTTTTCTTGTGAAGCTTGCCATCCCATAAGTAGAGCTTCTGCCATGCACTTCACTCCCCTGGTAGAACCACAATTTCCATTCCAGACAGTATCATTTATGTTCTTCCATAAGCCCCATAGTAACATAACAAACCTGCAACTTTTCTCCTTTGATAAAGTGTTAAAAATCTTCCCAATCCATTGCAACAGATCTGTCCACATTCTTGGCAGGCTCAAACCAAAGTTTTTCAGACTTCTTGTGCTAGAGGGCAGTTCCAAAACAAGTGCAGGGTCGATTCATTGCCTCCTTTACAAACCTGACATTTAACCGGGCTGAATTTCCAACACCAATGATGCCTAATACAATGATGCCAATGACTAAACCTGCAAAATTAAAATTAAAAACAGAATGAAAAAATACAACTCTACGTCTCTACCTGAACCAATATAAATGGTAGAGCCACACCACCAGTTGGAGTATTTCCAAAGCTATATAACTGCTCATTGTGTTTCATGAGGTTCTGAATACCTCCATACTTTTTTTAGTAAGGTCATGTATCACTATATAGTTTTTTACCTTCACTTTATCTGTCACGCCCCGGACCTATCCGGACACGTCAACAACCCGTCGTACAATACGAATAGTCAACCGCAGTCCAACACATTCATATTATACAAGGCGTCTTGAATATCATTCACACATATACATCCATAAACAAACATAATAAGTAATTCATAATGCAGCGGAAAACATTGTTTAAAACAAAAAGGCCACGCCGGGCTATTCATGAGCACGCAGGCTCTATAGTAAAATACCCATGAGCATGTTTGTTAATGTTTAAAAACAGAATGGAGGAAGCACGAACCAAGTCTTCCCTCCTATATGATCTCTCGAGCAACGAGCACAGGAAGCAAGCTCTAGCCTCAACCTGAAAAATGGTGGTGGGACGCCCCCGAAGGGGTCAGCACTCTATAGGGCTATAAAGTGCTGGTGTGGATGGCATCTAATAGATATACAACAAGTATTTCAAACACAAGACCCTCAAATAGGGTGATAATATAATCTAGGCCGTAACCCCAAGTTACCCCGTTTTAAAATATACTTACTTTATATATAAAGTCAAGTAGTCGGCCCGTAGGCCCAAGGTTTGTTTATCAAACATACCCCAAAATCACGTGACCCCTAGTCACAACAATACATAGGGTTCAACCCTAACACATATGTTTGCATTCTCGAGTCCAACTCGACTACATCACCATGCACCTTAATTAACATAAGCTAACTACTCCACCGTGCATTTCTCGAGTCCAACTCGACTACATCACCATGCACCTTAATTAACATAAGCTAACTACTCCACCGTGCATTTCTCGAGTCCAACTCGACTACATCACCATGCACAACAATCACCTCATCATGTCTACCCAATGCAATTCTATGAGCACGGGCTCAAGTACATCTCCTTACATTGGCATAGACCCCAATTCCTAAGCACTCACTATGCCTAGAATTGTAATATCAATAATCTATTTTGGGACATCCCTACGGACTGCCCAACCATGGTCTTAGCATCACATTACATCAAATTTGTCACTTGCATCACAATCAAGTACATCAATTATAATCAAATCCTTAGATTCAATTCCCTTAACAATTACAACAATCATTAACTAGTATTTCCATACTATTAAGATTATTCTTATCCATCATATATTCCATTTATAAAACCCTACATATTTAGAGATATGTAGCAGCAACTTAATCATTCAATGTAATACATAAATAATCATTTATGTATCTACACAATTCACACATGAGTAAAATGACTATTTCACACAATAGTTCATTTAACTCCATTTTTATCAATACCTTGCCAAATCATTTCTCATTTCATTCTTTGGAAAATAGATCAATATTCCATCAATAATTTATCATCATAATCCATGGAAAACATTATTTGGGCATTTAGGTAATCTCATGCTTAACCTACAAGTTGTAAGCAACTAGATGTCGATCCTCACCTCAAATGAGCTTTAAAACCTCCCTTCTCGATCCAATGACCAAAGCCTCGGCCAAGGAAGATTGGGAACTAGTTCCTTGCTTGAAAATGGGTTCTAAACAGCCTCCTCAAGTTGCTATTTCAACCCCGAATCGTTGATACGAAAACAGCCCCTAGAACGGGTGTTTTCCGGCTAACTCGATTCCTAGTTTTCCAATATTTGCATCTAGGTTAGTATCTAACCTTTACACCAATTAAAGTCACATAATAATATCATTTTATACACTCCAATCAGTGTATAATAGTTCTTCAATCATTTATATGATTTAGGCAATAGGGAGGAAGGTTTTGGATTCAAACTTACTTTGACTACAAAAGCGTTTCCTGCGAGGTCGTGTTTTGCTCGGTCAATTTGGAAGCCTTCCACTACTCCGATTGATGCAAACCAGACCTTCACGGATTCCTCGTCTTGAGAGCTTTCTGTTGGTATCTCGTACGCCTTATTTGGATGTGTATAACTCGAGATATGAAACAAACAAGTAACCCTTTCACTGGAGGAGAAACCTGCGGGCAGTTTGCTTTCTCCTTGCTCTTTTAGGTTGTGTGGCTCTCTTCTTCCCTCTTATCTTGGGGAGTTCGAATGGGAGCTGGGGAAATGTTATCTTGGCCTTAACTTAGCCTCAAAAGTCAAAGGATAGGAGTGGGTTGGCATGTGGGATGATTGAGCAAGATACCTCAATCAAAAAAAAAATGGGGAGAGGGTCCATTTGGTTCACAAACATGTCATGTTCAGCCTCCCTCTCCTTTTGTCCGCCCCAACCAAGGTTTTTAACTCATTCTCTTTATTTTGCAGGTGCCAAGAAGGTGTGGGGTGCTCCCCAAGTGATCCCAATCAATTTGGGGTCCAAAACATCTACCAATACTTCCAAAATTAGGAAGATGGGTCCTATTGTTTTATCTTTTGTCAAAGATGCCTTTTTGTACTCATCCTAATTTATTTAGAACAAGTCAACTTATTAAATCACATTATTGATCTCCAATATGTGTAGGCTCATCCCAATAATTTACTTGATGGATATTTTAGAAGGAAAATCCTACTCCCATTATTTAGCTCAATAATGCCAAAGATGGGGTTATAGGCATTTGTATTCTCCTTTAATCATTCTATCACTTATGTAACATTTGTCATACATATTATTGGGCTACTAGCCATGTGGGTCACTCCCGAGTGGGTCTAGAATGCCATTCTCGGATACTTGCTATTTTTAGCAGGTTGGGCCCAAAATAATGTTTGGGCCGCCCGACCTTCCTCAAATTGTCTTGAAGGATCATGTATCACTATTTAGGAAATGTTGAGCTCTTTTATTTATTAGTAAGACCCAAATAGTGTTTGCACGCCCAACACTAATATACGAGTTTGAACAGTACACTAATCGACCATTATTTACGTAAAACATTAATCGTTTCACAATTGTTTGGGAATCAGAAATCCAATACATAATCTTTGAATTTTTAAATCAATTTTCAAGGACGTACGGGTGCGGTGTCACATTATCACTATAAATTGCTATATATTTTGGCGTACGTAATTTATAGATCATATTATATATTCTAAACACTACTATTTGACATTAATATGTGCATTAGATGAGTAGCAACATACCTGATATGACAGACTCATATGAGTCTCGATGTGCAAACTGGTCAGATCGTGAGGTTATTAGTTTTCTTGAGGTGTGTACTAAGGACTCATTGCAAATGCATCGCAAAAATCAATCATTTAGTAGTGAGGGCTGGAAAATAATTGAAAAGGAAATGGCAAAAATGAGATTGCCTTACTCTGTTAAACAACTCCAAAACAAATTGAACCTATTGGCTCGGCAATATAGCACATGGGACAAGCTAGTTCGCAAGGAGACTGGTATAGGGTGGAATCCAGAAACAAACACTTTTGCGGCCGATGATGAGTAGTGGGCTCGGAAGTCAATGGTAAACTGGTTTATACTAATCTATATATTTTTAAAAATTTGTATTGCTATTAAATTGTGTTAGTACTTAATTTATGTGTTGTTTATTTGTAGGAAAACAAAGAAATTGCAAAATTTAAAACAATTGGCCTTGATATGAACATGTGGAACTTGTTGTTGTTGATGTGCCGTGGACATGCAGCTAAAGGACAACATGCTTGTTCTGCAGCTAATATTATTTGGAGGAAGAAGTTGATGTTTACATACCAGAGCAACCAACACAAAATATCCATGAAATGAGCCGTGAGTCTGATTTCATGGATTATTTAAATAATGTTAAGGAAACTAGATTCCTAGATGATGTTTCATATGAGCCAATGGGGGTGTCATTAGAGGCGACTGACAGTAGTGGTAAGAGGAAGCACGGTGTTGGACCTGGAGAAAGTGCGAGTAGTGGTTCTGTAGCTAAGAAGGGAAAGATGACTAGTAAAGGTAAAGGAAAAAACAAAGTTGCTCACTTGGAGTCGGAATTAGAAGGGTTACAAAAAATGTATGCAAGAAGGAATGCATTGTTACAACAACATCTTGAGAGAGAAAATGAGTTTGGTCTGTCTGAGGTTATGGGTGTATTTAGGACCTTACCAGGTGTGGTTGAGGGAGATGACTTTTAGTTCAAAACTTCAATGGTTATGAAAGAAAAAGGAAACCGAGAAATGTTCATGCTCCAAAGTACACCCGAGTATAAGCTGGAATGGGTGCAAATGCTCGTGAATCATATGGGCTAATTACCTATGTATCTTTAATGTATCACTTTGAGGATAATTATAGACAATTTATTTTACTCTTGTTTGTATTGTTATTTGATTTCATTAACTTGACAGTTTGTAATTTAAGACATAAGTTTGTTACGGTACATTGTTTTTAGTTTAACTTATTTTATTGTTAACATCATTATTTACTTTTTCTTATAGATATTCAACGTATTGCTATGGAAAATACTCTATTTCAAGCATGTTTCATGGTAGATGAGGTGGAAGATGAGCTATGGGATGGTATGATAAAGTCTATGACTACTCGAGTTAGGTCTTATATTTGTCGTGTTAATAGGCAACCATGCTTTAACTCATCATACACAGGAATGGTATGGTTAAATGAGATTTTTAACGGTCATGAGAAACGATGTATCAATGCGTTTCGGATGAAACCTTCCATGTTGAATGCCTTAGTAGAAATCATGACTTTTAAGTATGGATTAAAAGGATCACTGAATACGAGCATTGTTGAAAGGTTTTGCTTAACTATATATATCATGGCTCATGGGCATTCAAATAGAGAACTTCAAGAACGATTCCAACACTCTGGTGAAACTATAAGCCGAATATTTGGAATTGTGTTGGATTGCTTGATGATCTTTTCTAAGGATATGATTGCACCTGTTGATCCCACCTTTGAGAGCGTAAGACCTGATGAAAGATATTTGCCGCATTTCAAGGTAATTAACTACCTATTATGCTTGTCATTTTACTTAATGAGAGCACTCTATAACTGAAAATTGGTATTGAATATAGGATTGTATTGGAGCAATCGATGGCACTCATGTTCCAGCAGTTATATTTGAAGAGAAAAAAGATATGTGGTACAATCGTAAAGGATTCATTAGCCAAAACATCATGGCAGCTTGTAGCTTTGATCTTCAATTTACATTTGCGGTTCCGGGATGGGAAGGATCGGCTCATGATGCTAGAATACTACGAGAGACACAAGAGAATCCTAGCTTGGGATTTCCATCTTCCCCACTTGGTATGTTTTAAATTTATTTGCGTCATGATAACTTTTAGTAGGGCTAACTATTCAATTTTTATTAAAATAGGCAAATACTATTTAGTAGATGCGGGGTACTCTATTCAAGAAGGGTTTCTGCCACCACACCGCAATACTAGATACCATCCCTCTGCTTTCAATGGAGAGAGGCCGAACTCGGGAAAAGAGTTATTCAACAAGAAGCACTCGTCGTTGCGTAGTTGCATTGAGAGAACATTTGGTGTTTGGAAGGCAAGGTGGCGTATCCTTAGAGTCATGCTCTCTTATCCTTTTAAGGTCCAGGTCAAAATCGTGTTAGCTACCATGGCACTACATAATTTCATCCGGCGATATTCTAATGATGACCCTGCTTTTCTTTGTTTTGAGACAAACCTTGATTTCGTCCCGGAAGATCGCATCACTCCACCAACACAAGAACCCGCCGAAAGGTCTTCAAATGAGGTTCGTGGTGCAAGTTCTCAACGTATGATTGCATTACGGGATGAAATAATAGAAAATTTATCACGTAACATGAGGCAACGTCGTTGATAATGGCATGTATTCTATTGTGTATTTTCTTTGTTTAATGTTTTCTCAAACATGTAATGAACTTTAATTAATAGTTATGTGTATTTCATGTTTCATTTTTATTTTAAATTAAATGCATTTCCATTTGTTAATATACTTTAGAAAAATTGATCAAAAAAAATATACTTGAGAAAATGCATATTTATTAAATTAATTTACTCATATTAGTCACAAAAATAATACTACTGTCACTCATTCGAAAATACCCATTTTTTTGAAAGTAGTTGTATAAAAAAATCAACGTAAAAGTAAGAATGAAATTTCCAAAGTAATCAATTATTTAAATAGGCTTATAATTAGCTAATCAAGCAAAAGTAGTTTATTAGTAAAATTCACACCCATATATTTAACACAAATAAGCTAATACCCTTTATAGTAATTTTACACACAATCAGCCATTCCAGCCAATATATTACCAAACACTTTCACTTCAGTCTTTTCAGGCTTTTCAGGCTTTTCAGCCATTCCAGCCAATGCAGCTGTCACCAAACAGACCCTAAATAAGTTAACTAATTAAAGAGACTATCTTGGAACATACAATTACGGCTTACTTATTCAACTGAAAATTGCTCCACCTTTTTTTTGCCAAAGAGTTGAAGTGACGAGTATGAAGCAGATGGGGCACTGTGGGTATAAGAGGGATATCAGTTAAATATTCAAACAGCCAAGACCTAAATGCCACTTTTATTGGCGTTTTTAATTTTGGCTGTTTGGAATAAAAAACCAAGTTAAAAAGCCAATTAACCAAACACCCTATTAGCTAATTAATTTGGTCAAAACGCCAAATACTGGTCAAATCAGCCAAAACATGGCTGATAGGCTCCTAACCAAACACCACCTTTGTACCAAATTAAAATCATTTGTGTTTCAGTTTGCTTTTGGTTCAGTTTCGATTCGGTTTGAAGTTCGGATTACCAAAGTGGAGAATTATTAGGTTCAATTTAGTTCGATTTGATTCAATTTCTTATGTTTATTATTTTATTTGATCAAGCTCTATATTTAAGAATTAGAAATGAAAGTAGTAGTTCATCTCATCTTCTTTTATTTATTATTTAAATAAAATGTAAAGGGGAATAAAACATAGAAAAAGAAATAATAAAATATTACTACCTATAAACTAAATCTTATAACATCTTTTTTATCACTAGAAAAAAGATTTACTTTTCTCAAAAAATAAATTTATGGTTGATTAGCATTTATAATATCACATAAAATATTCAATGAAAACTAAATGAGTTAGTGGCACAAATGTTGTATGACTCACAATTTTATTCAAATGAATCATGTAAAAAAATATAAATGGAATTTGCTATTGTTATCGCAAAATATCTTTTCATACAAGTAGAGTACCAAACATAACAAATACAAATGTGCCATATTAGCTAACTTTGTCATAATGAATGTGAGAAATGTGTAAAAGTTAAAATGATTTATGCTAAATTTGTATTTTTCATGTTCTAA